TTGCTGATGCCATATCGCTAGCACCATGTTTGTTCTCTAGAAATTTGTTTGCTTCCATTTCTCACCTTTAAATTCATCAACTCTCTTGTTGTCTTCATATATTTAATTGCAGTAGCAAATTTCATGGCAGACAGGGCAAATCCAGTTTCAATTTTGTTTTGCTTCTGGTACATGTTCCCATATCTGCAGAAAAAAAAAACTCATGTATAATAGAATCAGATATTATAAATTTTACCTTGTCTACCATGTGTAACACTAATGCGGAGATACACTAATTCTAAAACAGCCAATCATGGATTCCACCATGGGTAATTTTAATGCTTTTCTTATTACTGAACATTTGCATTCAAATTTCGGAAAAATTAATGAAGAAAACAATCCCTACATAAGCAACTTTACCCGCCATGACATAGAGAGCCTTGGCCCCAACTGTCGCAAAATGTGGATTTGCTACAACCACAATGATGATTTTAGCTGAACATTGCTCCAATATTTTCTCAACAACATTGCTCTAATATTTTCTCAAGATCGTACGTTGTGTTTAAATGATAAATTTGGATAAGAATTTGAAAAAGAAACAAGAAAATGTGCATCAGATGTGAATGTTTGCCTACAGGCTAAAACTTGCCTCGGTGTTTCATAGGAAGTGCACAGTTCCAGAAGAAAGCCCCGAGGCCCAAATACATTCAATTTAGTTCTCATTTGATGGGAATTGAATTTCATATAATACATTAGACAAATTAAGAAAAGAAAAAAGGTCACTCTCAGAACTTGAAAGGACCAACCATTGTTGAAATAATCTTTCAAAACTGTATTTATATATATGAAAGTAATAGTTTAAACTTTTTTTTTTTTAAACTCTACCTATTGAGATTGCAGTGCTCCCAAAACATCAGTCTTTTTTTTGTAGGCCCAATTTTTATGGCACAATGATTTTCTGAAGGCCTAGGCCTAAGCCCAAGCCCACAAAGACCACCTTTTCCCAAAAAAACTCGAGAAACACTGAAACTGAACATCCAAATTCAAATTTGTTTATAGCCAGTAGGTGTTGGGTTGGAAAATTGGCTATTTTAGAGATTTTTTGGCTTTTTAGTTATTTTATGAGATAAAAAAAAGTTGTGTGTTTGGAATCATTTGTGGGTTTTTTTGTGGTTAAATAGATGGTTGTGAAAGAAAAAAGTGATTGATTGATATATAAAATATAACATTTTGTCTTATTGACTATTTTAACATTTTTTGGTTTGTTTTGGAGTGTATCCAGATAAGCTACTTATTGATTTATTTCTGTCATATCACCTCTCTATTTTTTTACATGTCTTTTCGTAATAACCAAAAAAGTCAAAAAATAAGTCATACTCAAACCAAACATCCCAAACAAAGCCTAAAGTTGAATTTTGAATTATGGATTTAATTAATTTTTCTATTTCTCTCATATTTTTCTTTTCTTTTCTTTATTTTAAATTTTTATCCAAATTTATGATTTATGCCCTCGTTTAACATGTTGGGTTGGGAGGCTAAAAGGTTAAAATAGCCATAAAATGACAAAATAAGTTAAAAAGTTAATAAAATAAAATGTCACATCTAAATTATAATCATTTCACTTTTTCTTTCACAAAATTCAAAAAACCAAAAAGCTTGGCCCAAACGAGTTTTAACCCAGACTAAGGCCAAGTTTGGCATGTATCAAAAAAGACAAAAAGTCAAAAAATTACTCAAAAAGTTAAAAAACTATCACTATTCACCAAAAAAAATATTAAAAAAGTAATTTTACAAACAAAAATACAATTCATTAATTACAGTAATACAACTCATCAACTCACCAAATCAGATATGTGTTGCGGTTCAAAAGGAAAATTGTATGGTTGGGGTGCAATTTTAACACACTGTTATTCGGCCCGTGGGGGCCCATCACGGGTCCCGTTTTGATAATTTGAACCTTGTCGAGTACTATATGTCTATTAAATATCACGTTGATCGGATATCGATAACTACATGATCAAATCAGTTTTGTATAAAAAAAAAATGATGGCGTTATAGTTAACGGTTGAAAAAAAACAAATCTGATCAGATAGCTATCGATATCCGATCAATGTGATTTTTTACACGCATGTAGTACTCGACGAGTGTTACACATTGAACAGTTCAGATTATCAAAACGGGACCCGTGATGGCCCCCACCAGCCAAAAAGCATCGTCCAATGAAATGCTTGAAAAGTAGACAATTATTTCTAACCATCTATTCAACCTGCGCATGAAGGACAACCGTACAACCCAAAAACAAATCATTTCCTATACACTAATTTATACAATTTTTTAATACACATTTTTTTATAAAATGTCAAAAAGTTAACCCAAACAATCATATTTTTTTTCTCAACTTTTTAGTCTAAAAAATCAAAAAGTACACTTATTTAGGACACTCCAAACAACTCCTTAACCAAAAAGTCAAAAAACCAAATGAAACCTAAATAGACATAATCTTAGGCTTGGTTTGACATAATACAAAAAAGTTAAAAAGTTACTATCCTATTTAAGTCATATCATCTTTATTTAAATCACATCATCTCTCTACCACATCACTTCAAACCCAACTCATATTTCATAAAAAAACAAAAAATACACTTATTTAGATCATTCCAAACAACCCCTTAATATACACAATTAACATGTTGAAATTCCTTGCAACCATGTCGGCACTTCCATCTTTTTCTTTTTTTCTTTTTTTATTAACAAAAATTTATAGTAACATCATAAAAATGAATACAAAATTTAATATAATTGTGATATGATGTAATAACTAAGATACATGCAAATGTTTATAAGTGTTCCTAGGCATTGTTTAATATTAAGATTGAGATGAAAAGTATTTTACAAATAGATTAAAAAAAATTAAAAGTTTTGAAATCAATTAAAAATGTCTTGTGTTGTTCAATATAATAAATTATGAATTTTTAATTTTATCAATTTAAATTTTAAACTTTTGATTTGTTTTTAATTTAAACTATTCGTCTATTTCCGTTAAGTAAAGTTGACGAAAAAAATATATTTTATCCATCAAACTCAATATAATGTATATAAAATGTTTAAAATACTATTTTTCGTTTACTTTAATGATTTAGAGCAATGTTGTGAAACCCGGATCGGACCGGACCGGCTGGTCGAACCGGTTGGACCAGGAACCGGGCCTTCTTCCGGTTCGGTCAACCCCCTAGAACTGGACTAGGAGCAAAATCGACCTGGAAATGAAAAACCGCCGGACTCAGCGGTTGAACCGGGATAACCGGTCGGTGCTTCTAGGTTTTGGCGGGTTCGACCGGTGATTTTTTTTTTTTTTCTTTCTTTCTTTTCTCTTTCTTTCTTATATATTTATATATATATATATATATATATGTATATCTGATTTTCTGTAAATATTTCTGTGAGCAAACACCCAAAGGAAATTCATGAACTAGGCACGACAAGAGCACATACCAGCAGGCAAATTCAAGAAGGGAAGTAGAGACGCTCCAAGATTCATCAAAACATTATGGACTAATGTAAGACAAGCCTTGACACAATAAACTCGGTATAACGTCCGACCGAATTCAATCAATCATATTGGTTCTTTATGTTGGTTGATTCATTTTAAGCCCAATTTTATTAGCCTCTTTTATATTACCTTCCGTTTTCTTTAATCCATTAAGTCCACAGTGATATTTTCATCCACTAAATCTGAAATGCAGTAAAGGAAAATAAGTGTCAACTTAACCTGAATAAATAAACCTTGTTTTCTTCGGAGGAAATTACAAAGGAAGAGTCAAACTTATTTACAAGTTAGGGATTTCAAGTCAAACTCAGGATGCACAACAAGAACTAGTCAAACTCAGAAGAGTGATAATGATTTAGAAAAACCCATAGTGAGCGATAATGACTTGAAATCCAAACTTGATAATGAGTGATAATGACACTTTCCTTGGCGATTGCCAAGATCAATTAATCCCTTAATTGAGAAAACACTGATGATAAACTCTTCACTATGAATTCAAAACCTATCCGAGTCAATAAATGTCTACTCAAGTCCAACCTAGTACGTGTAAATAATAAAATATATCCAATGATATCGACTAATTCAAAATTTATTTAAATTTAAATTATTTATTAAATAAATGAATTCCGGTCATATTTATATTTGTTTAGTAATTAAGTTGAAGTGACTCTAAAGTAAAAAATATATAGTGACCACATGGATTCAGAGATAAGTAGTATGGCAATAATGATACGGACTCCCATTATCCTTTACTCTCACTATCCTCTCTCTCTCTCTCTCACACGAGGATTAGTGATTGAAGAGCGAAAAAAAAAAAAAAAAACCAATGACCGTCAATTGGGAGTCGTGGGAGTGTCCCAGTGGGGGTCTCAAGCATTATACTTGAGTCCAACTTGTGTGTTTTTTTTTAAAGACATTGATTTAGACCCCCTTAAAACACCCACTCCCACAACCCCCTCATACACATGGAGGTTGGGGTTGGGTGAGAAGAAAAAAAAAGAAAAATTAACCAATCAAAATTAAAGGGGTCAAAGGGGTGACCCCCAAAAGGGGTCTCAACCTTTATTCTTATTTCTTTTTAGAGAACAAAATCTGAGTCCCCTGTTCTTCTTTTTTAATTACTTCGAACAAATGCACCCAGTTCTTTTTCAGAGACTTTTGATTAAGAATGTTAAAGTGTATTCTTAAAGCTTATGTTACAAAAAAAAATAAAATTATTGCAGGCATTTTCATGCATAATGTATATTATTTTTAAATTTCCTAACATGTACCACAACAACACATTAAAAAATAGAAAATGATGTACAAGTCCACTTTCAATCAATTATCTTCTTGACACATCATTGATTTAAAAAATAGATTTAATTTTTAGACCTAAATAATAATAATTTTAAAAAAAATTCTTTTAACTGATAATCCACCATTGCTTCTTACAAAACTCATTATAAACTAGAAAGTTATCATCCTTTATATTATATATATATATATTATGAATTTCATTTTTGAAAATATAAAACACTTATCAGTTCAAAGAAATTGAAGAACACTATTACAAACACAACCACCAACCCTACCAAAAATGCCCAAATTTATGGGCGGTTGGGGGTGACAGTTTACACTAAAATTTCCTACAAACTTTACTATAATACTACATTAATAATTACCATGCTCCTATGTTTACACATTCACATTCACCTCTAAACTTTTATCTTGCTGTTCTTCTTTCTTGTTTATTTCTAGTATATCGACGTCTAAAGCATCATTGTAAAGAATCGAAGGACTACTTGGAATAACTGCTACAATGTCGTTGCTACTTCCATTGTTGTTTTCTGTCAAAGAAGTGACAATGATATCGATACATTCCGATTCTCGGGCACTCTTTGATGGCATCAGTTGTGTAATTCTCTTCAACTCCTTTCCTTTTCCCCACAAAACCATGTATAATCCGCACACTATCACCCCAGCTCCTATCACGCTATTATTATATGCAAATAAAATTAAAAAAAAGGTCAAACAAAACAAAAAAAGAAGCAATGTATGTCCATATATATCAAGCAAAGAATTATTTATATGACAAAGGAGATAAGATCCATGATTATTAACTTGATTTTAGTAGTATTAGCTAGTTACGGTTGTTAATAATATCATATCATTATGTATATATGTTATATATACCTTCCCAAGTGTAGCTTCTCGTCCAATAGCAATGAGCCAGCTATTGCCACAAGAACAAGCATCAGAGGACTAAAAACTGATACAAATAGTGGACCCCTCATTTGTACACACCATGCCATGAGTGTAAATGTTACTCCAGAAGCCACAATCCCCTACAATGCAAGAAAGCCAAACACATTTTACAACTGAATTGAAATTCATAATTTAGATTTACACCCACGTCTAAACTTTATCCAATCATTTCAGAGAATTTTTGTAATCACACGTGTTAAATTGTTTAATACTAGCACATCTAACAATTTAAGCTTTTAGATACATTAGTGATTAACAATTTAACATATTATTATAAAGCCAATCATAGATCTTTTTTTTAGATAATCGTATGATGGACACAAAAAATAATTTGAGAATTGAACACATAACATGTATGAATGAAAAAGATTTTGCAAGATTTGTTAGAAGCATCAACTTTTTGAAAAATCTTTTTTTTAATGGGTGAATAAAAAGAATCTTTTTCATCTTTGTACACATACATTCTATATATTACTATGACCATTTCCTATGTTTGTAGACTTATATATATATATATATAGATAATAACGTAATCAATCTCTTTCATAATAATTTAAACATATGTATATCTATTCTTGTAGTATATAAACCACATATAAAACTTATTTAGTGAAGTAATCATTTTTAATTTTCTTCTTTCCAATTATAGTCAACTTTTTTTTTTTTGCTGCTAAATGACGATTATAATCGTCTTTCATTTTTATGCATGCATGTGTGCTTTTAGTACGACGATACATACCGAGTAAGAAACAACTAGTAGTCTGAGGTTCCATCCCAACTTCCATGCACTCCAGTCTCTATTCATGCAGAGTGCAAATCCAACGGCTTGGATTGCTCCCATCGTGATCATCAGAGCAGTGCTGGAGTACACACAAGGGTAGTTCCGGATCATCTTAGTCTGGCCCAATAAACAAGACACATTGAGAATAAATAACATTAGTCAAGGTCATTTGGGTAAATATTATTTATTTATTGTTATTATTATCTGTTTATTTTTATTAGTTGTTGCAAGATCACCTGAACAATCAATCCCATTGCACTAGAGAAACAACACGACACAACCAGTAAAGCTCCCAACACGTGATTACCATCATGTGTGTGTGGTGTTGCCACGTGTCCATGCTTGTGATGGAGAAGGTCAACGTTGGTTGACCAGATGTTGAGTTCTGCCCCTTTGTAGAACGTGAGCAACATAGCTCCACCTATGCACATCAATGTCCCTGCCACCTTCGCCTTACCTGTCATTGTACCCAATCCTAGCCTCTCCATCCTGTACCCAGATACCCAACATCAAACAACTATCATGCAATTCTATTTGTGTGTTATTTATCTAAAAAGAATACATATACACACACATACACACACACACATATATATATATGGAAAATTAAAATTAAATAGAATTTATAAATCAAAAAAAAACTAATTACAAATTTATAGAAAAAGCTAAGATTTTAATTTATAAAGTTTATTACTGATTTGTAATTATTTTTTGAAAATATCACTGAATTGATATTTTTCCATATATATATATATATTGATTTGCCAAAAAAAAAAAACAAACAAACAAACAAAACAAAACCTATTCATCTAGAAAATATATAAAAATAATATGACAATGTCAATTTTATAAATAAAAACAACCTTCTTGAATGTTTTATTTTAAAATAAAAAATAAACATTGAACTATATTATTACTTAAATTCTATTTAAATTTTTTATTTTATATGTTATTACTATAAGATTTTTTTTATCACTACACACAAAGTTAGTTTAATTCAAGAAATCAATTAGCTATATATTTGAGAGAGAGAGAGAGAGAGAGAGGGAGGGAGGGGGGTACCCGAAAGAGATGGCCAAAATGAAGGTGAAGGCGGGGATGAGATTGGTCATAGCAGCAGCAAAAGTCGCTGATGTCAAAACCAAACTCTGTGCGTATAGATTTTGTGCCATTGATCCTCTGCAATTGAAAATTATATATAACAATCAAATATTAACAAAATAACAAGTATATAAATAAAAAATTCATAACAAAAATATATTTGTAGATAATTATGTAACTCAATAGGAAGCTTTCAGTTTAAAAAAAAACACTTATAAATATTTTTTTTTTTTTTTTTACAATAATCTTTTAATAATAATTTAATTTCAAAATATATCATCCTTAATTATTGCATAAATATTATTGCAAAGAATTATATATATATTTTTCTGGAAATTGACATGTTGCCAAAACTTAGGTCTCATTTGGCAAGTAGTTTTTTTAGCTGAAAAATTAAAAAGTCAACAATTTATACTAAAAAGTCAAAGATTTCATTTTCGCTCTACTTTTTGTATTTCTTTTCGTAAAAAGTCAAAAAATCATTTCAAATATATTAATTTTTTTATATCATATTTTAATTAAAAAATTAAAAAATTACTAAAAAAAGGAAAATGTCTCGTAACTCAAATTTTGTGGCTCAAAAGTGGCTCAAATGGTCAAAACAACGTCGTTTTGACCATTTTTATGTTGTTCTGTACTCAAAACGACATCGTTTTAGCTATTTGAGTCACTTTTAAGTCACAAAATTTGAATTACGTAGCAATATCGCTAAAAAAAATATGTTTCGAAAGAGACCTTAACAAAAGTGACAAGTGTAAAGTGTTGAGCTTGAGTAGGCAAAAAAGATGACATAGCAGTTATGACCTACGTGCTTAAGTCAACGATCACCTGTGACCCACATTAATAGAGAGAGAGAGAGAGGAATAGACGGACGGTAGTTTTTGTAAGGTAGAACAACTACACAGACAGATTACTGTAATCTAAACCAAACCATAAATAAATAAATAAAAATACGTGTCACGTATAGCAGAACATATGGCTGTCAGTTTTTTGCAATATTTTTATTTCTTTTCAGCGGTCAGCATGTCTTGTTCCGACTAGTTCACGTACTGCTCGATTATTTTCAGTCTAATAAGAAATTAGTCACAAGTCAAAATTGAAAAATTCACGTGAAATTAATTTTTTATAACCTAATTTACTAGAAAATAAGTCATAAGTCGAAACTGAAAAATTCACGTGAAATTAATTGCTTATAACCTAATTTCAAAAACCGTTCAATGAACAATTACATGGAAAATACACCTACAAACCACTAGAAAATAAGTCATAAGTCAAAACTGAAAAATTCAAGTGAAATTAATTTCTTATGACGTAATTTCAAAAATCGTTCAATGAACAATTACATGGAGAATACACCTACAAACCACTAGGGACAATCCATGGATTAAGATGATTGTATGGCTTTGTTTAGAAAGTGGATTAACTTTTTGACTTTTTTTAGTTATTTTAGTCTGTGTTAAAAAGTTTGATTTGGGAAGGACTTTTAACTTTTTTGTGAGAGAAAAAATGTAATGATTATGAATTAGATATGATATTTTGTCTTATTAGATTAAAAAAATTATTTTATTTTTTATAAAATCAAAAAAAATCTTTAAACTCAACTTCCCAAACATAGAGTATTTGGGGAGAATATAGTGAAGTGGTATAACTTGGTAGGTAGGTATGCACTCATATATAGCGCGTGACTGGTTGTTCATCTTCCACACCTCCTATATATACAACCTTTCTTGCTCCATATAAATCCATTCACATAGGTTGATTTGAGAAATTGATTAAAAGTTAATTTTTAAAATTTTTTTATCTTTTTTTAAATAAAAAATATGTGAAATAATATAACTCAAAATGGATTAAAAATGAAAAGATGGCTTTTAAGGAGCTTCCCAAAGTGCCCCATATATAGGCATAATAATATTATATTTATGATCTCTTTGTATTATATTTATGGTCCGTTTGGTATAAACGGTGAAAAATTAATTTTCTTTTATAATTGATCAGTTTATTTTTAATACATTTCATCATTTTTAGTTGTGGTTTGGGTAGAACTTTTTTAGTTGACTTTTTTGAGTTTGGACTTTTTTAATTTGAGACTAAAAAGTTTGTTTGGGTTTGGCTTTTTAAACTTTTTTTTTCCACTTTTATAAAAAAAAAATGAAATGATTATAGTTTCGATGTGGCATTTTAACTTATTGACTTATTTATCTTATTTTATTTTTGTGATTTTTTAGTCTCAACCATAATTGTCAAACAAAGCCTGGCCTCGTTTGGCAAGTAGCTGTTTTAGCCTAAAAGTCAAAAAGTTACTAAAAAAATCAAAAAGTCTATAACTTACACCAAAAAGTCAAAAATTCCTTTTTCTCTTTACTTTTTGCACATTTTTTCATAAAAAGCCAAAAACTCACCCCAAACATACTAGTTTTTTTACCTCATATTTTAACCAAAAAGTCAAAAAGTTACTAAAATAGTCTATTCCCAAACGGAGCAAGGATCCTCTAGAGTTTTTTTTTTCTAAAGTTTCCTAGAGTGGTGTGTTGTATAGTTGAGATTTAATGACAAGTCACATCAATTTTTTAGCAATAAATCTCACCCATACAATACACCACTTTAGAAAATTTTAGGAAAAAAAAAAACTATAGAGGATCCTTGGTGTCCCAAACGAGGCCATGAAGTAGGCAATATAAGAAAATTCTATTTCTTATCAATTTTCACTGTCTCTCATCAAATTTATAAACTTAACGTAAAGAGAAAAAAAAAAATTAGGATTTGGTTTAAAAAAAATAAAAAAGACTATTAAGATATCATCTTATGTGATATATTCACAACCGTATACTAATGGAGGGTTTATGAGATCATGAATGTGTCAACACTGGATAACATACAAAACATGGCAGGAAAAAATTAGTAAGTGTGGCATTATTGTATATATATAAATGAGTAAGTTGCTGATAAAAAAAATATAAATGAGTTAGTTATATAAAAAACAAAAATATACATAACTCATATTGATTGTATTTGAACTTATCGTTTTAAAACATAATATTCTTTAAAAAAATAAATAATCATAAAAATATCACTATCATATTAATTTAGTAAATACTATAACAAAAAAATGAGCATTACTATTCAAAATCAAAAATTAGACTCAATTTTCTCAGTGACAATCAATTAAGATATTAAAAGTAACACATTCTCTCATATATTTTCTAATCATTAACTAATTATATCAACTACACAAAAATCTAGAAAATGAGTTTAGAAAATAGGTTTATCTATCATTTTTCTAAAATAATTTATAAAAATAATATTTCTCTATATATATAGTCAAGCATATATATATATACATATATGTACATGCAACTTACCCAAGTAACCCACAAAGAAAAGCTTGGCACGCCACTTTCCATGTTAACTTTGGTCTACTTTTCCTGTAATTACAAATTAACTCACATGTCAAAAACACAATATTACAACAGTACATATATGTATGTGTATATAATGTGTTTAAGTTTTTTTTTTCCTCCATTTCTCTTGCAGATTCATGAAATAATACAACAAACAGTAAAGAACAAAACAAAACAAATTTCCATATTTTCTAAAATAAAAAGAAAAACAAACATGTATACATATATATATATATATATATATATGTTCAAATGATCAAAACCCATTTTAAAAATAAAATTAAAAAAAAAAAATCAAAACCCAGAAGCGTATATAGATGACCTTTCAAGGAGGAGAGCGATAGGGACAATGAAGGCAGCAGCAAATACAAAGCGATAGGCAATCAAGACGCTCATGCTCATTCCAATACTCGAAGCCAGTTTGTAAAATACATTGACTCCTGCCAATGCAACCTGAACCACCGCCATCATCATCGCTGGTTTCAACCCATGTATAGTATTCGCTATCTTCCCCATCTCCCTCCACCCACAATGCCAAATCTATCTCTCTATATATATAGCTATATCTATATCTATGTATGTGTATGTGTATATGTATAGCAAGAACAAGCAAGAAGATCGAGAACAGCTTCGTCTTCTCGCTTGCTTGTCTGGAATTCAATTGAAAATGAAAAAAACAAACACACAATGAATATATATATGTGTATGTGGGTAGAGAGAGAGAGAGCGAGTCAGTTGGGGAGGTCTTGAAAGAGTTAGAGAGAGAGAGAGAGGTGAATGGGGAGAGTTGTGTGGTTGAAAGAAGAGAGAGGGGGTGGTATTTATTGTAATTAAGAGTCGTGGGGTCTTGGTGTGGTGCTATTTCCCCACGTCACTGCTCGCAAGGGTAAGTTCATCGGTTGACACGTGCGAGATTGTACTCGTGGACGTCCCTCGCACCTTCTTCACTTTGCATGGCTTGTGCACGTCACACCCTACGCTTCACTCCACTATACTCATGCACTTTGCCATATGTGTAGGCTAAATCCCATTTAAATAAAAAAATAAGTACAAACACATAAAACGATTTATGTTAGTGGACTATATTTAGGCCCCGTTTGGAAAGAGATTAATTTAGTAATTTTTTAGTTATTTAGTTAAAATATGAGTTAAAAAAAATTAGTATGTTTGGGATGACTTTTTGACTTTTTACAAAAAGATGTTCAAAAAGTAGAGAGAAAAAAGAATCTTTGACTTTTTAATATAAATTATTAATTTTTGACTAATTTAATAACTTTTTGACTAAACTAAAGGATTCCGAAACAAGGCCTTAGTTCTCTATTCGATTTATGTGTTTTGATTACATTTTGGCTCTTTCCACTTTTTATTAAGAAAATGCTTGGTTGTCTTTAATGTTGAAAAACGTAGAAGAAAAATTGTATCCTAGTAGTCTATACATTTTGTTATTTATATTATATTGGTTTGTATAATTTTAATTGATTTATTTTTAATTTTTAATTTTTAATTTTGTATTAATTTGATATAATTGATTCGTTTGGAAAGTTGATTGATTTTTTGACTTTTTGATTATTTTAGTCTGGATTAAAAAATATCGTTGGAGATGGCTTTTTTATTTTTATGAGAGAAAAATTTAATAATTATAAGTTAGATGTGATATTTTGTATTATTTGATTAAAAAGTCTTTTGTTTTTTTTGTTTGTGTGTATGTCGCTATTTTAGCAAAAAAAAAAAAAAAAAATACCAAATCTAACTTTCCAAACAAGCACAGAGCTGTTAAAAACAGAGATAATTGACTAATAATTACAGAATATACGAGAGAGAGAGAGAGAGAGAGAGAGAGAGAGAGAGAGAGAGAGAGAGAGAGAGAGAGAGAGAGATATAATTA